TCTTGTGATTCTGTGATCAGAAATAGATGATCTATACCTCATTAGAACCGTCTCAGTGAGCTGATTCGAATGGTGGTAGTTTCATTGAATTCTGTCCAGTGGTTCAAGAGTTATGGTCATTTTTGTAGGTTAACAATATTTACTTAATTAGCTTTTAAATCTATTAAAAATCAGTATGTCAATAAGTCTTTAGCTTTATTTTAACTTAAATTATTATTAATTAATAGTATTATTTCTTTTAACTATAAACAAATTTGGCATTAATATTTTTAGATTATTAAATATAAATATTATAATTAATATTAAAGCTATTAGTATTGATATATTGTTTAGCTTTTTTTGTTTTAACAATTATATATACTTAATCAAAGTTTTAAATCTATTAAAACATTAATATTTCTGATAGGTCTTTTGTTTTATTTAAACATAAACTATTATTAATCAATAGTATTCTTCTTTTTTTTATAACTGTAAACAAATTTATAATTAATACTTTTAATATATTATATATAAATATTAAAAATCAAATTTGCATAATATACAAGTTAACTTCTATAGATTATGCAATATTATGCAAGCTAATTAGATTTAATTTTAACCCATATATTAATTTATCTGCACACCTTAATCTATAAATAAGTTATGCTTTCTTTATGCTTATGTTAACTGATTTAACTTTATTTTTTTATATAATATATCATACTTTACTTAAGTACTATTAGTAGAATTTAGCTTTTATGTTAATAATATATCATACTTTTATTTGAGCTATATTAGTTGATATAGTTTTCTTTTTACTTATATTTTATTTAGTAGTAATCATAATATTATCATTTTTAATTAGATACAACATTATTACATATTAAAATCTAAAGTAAACTATTATGTAAGAATTGTTTTCTTGACTTTTTTTTCTTCTTGAAATCAACCAAACAACTGATATTACTAAAAACCTTTTTTTTATAAAAAACTTTTAAAATTTTTGATCTTTTTTTTTAAAAAAAAAACAAAATGTATAAAAAAAGTGTCAAAAAAATTAGAATAGTATCTTAATATTAATTAGTTTTTTCTATTATGCCACCTTGACAAAGCTATTAATTAACATTTTTATAAAGCCAAAATTATTTAAGAACAATTTTGTAAAGCTTTAATTAATCATCAATGCCACTTATTTAAATTAATACTAATGATTTATTTGCAGATCTAGGCTCTATTCTTTGTTATATAAAAAAAATTATAGATGCTTCAATAGATGTTCTAAATCACTTAATAGAAATAATAAAGATACTATTAAAACTTTTTTTAATAAAGCTATTTATATACTGATAGGTCTAACAGTTTATTTTATAATACTAAAGATCAGTTTTTTTAAAAAAACAGTTTATTTATTCATAAGTAAAGTTAAAAAACTAAAAAATGCTTTCTGATCTCTAACTTAAAGCTTATAAAAACAAAGTAAAAATGTCTATAATTATTAAAGTGATAAAGGTATTAGTACTACAAGATTATTATTTTTACTAAGAACCGTAAACTAACAGATCTAGAAAATAAAACTAATAATAATTATACTATCAACAATGCTAGTAGCAATTATCAAACCACAAACAATAACTATTAATATAGCAATACTGCTACTGACAATACTAAAAACAGTACTATTATTTTCAAAAATAGTATTAATAGCACTAATAATGCTATTAGCAATAGTCTTACTACTACTAATATTGTATTTACTATTATTACTAATATTTTACTCACTACTATTACTGCTAATATTGCATTCACAATCATTACATTAAACAAAAGCAAACAGAAACAGCAAGCTGGTAGTAATAACAATAATAATTAACAAAAACTATTAGTATCATCTGAACTACCAACTAGTTACCTAAAAAGGTTATATAAATATTAAAAGAAATAGATGAAAAGCAATATAAGTTATTTTATATATGTATTAGTATATGAAAATTAAATTTGTAGTTAAAAGTAATTATAGAGCTATCAGTTTAATAAATATTTATTTTAATATGCAGAATGAAATAATTCAAATAACAGATGGCTTTAATAAAAGGTTACATATAGACTATACACAAAATTGAAGTAAAATAGGCTACTGTGTAGTTATAAAAACTATGCCAGCAATTGGAAAGGCCCTAGAAATCAATTTTAGATATAAATTGAATAAATTAAAATATATTCTAAAATGCCTTCACTAACATTGTTAGAAAAAATAGAAAATTAATAATAATTCTAAGAAATTAGTGACAAATAAAAAGAAAGTAAATGTGAATGGTAGGCATCAATTAGTATATATAGACCTATTTGATTAATTAAAATAAGTTATAAGAACTTTGCAGATTATCATATTTGTATTATACAAATATCTATTTTGTACTACTATAAGCTTATTAATACAAATATAATAACTTACAATATTATAATAGCTCAATATAAATTAATTTAATAAACTACTAATCAACTGATATTAATTACTGTTATTCTAAAAAAAATTAGAAGAATTAAAAACATATAACATATGCTTAATACTTATAATAAAAATTATATTGATCTTGCTACTTTCATAAGTTGGAATGACTTTAGAAAAAAGCTTGAAGAAATTGTTAATAATAATGAATACTATTTAAATAAAATACCTAAAACCGATTGTAAAAAATTACAAGCTAAACATCATATAAAAGTTTTCTAAAATTAAAAAAAGAAACTAACTATTGTATATTTTATATTTATGATAAGCTATAAAGATCATATAAAGTAAGTAATTGTTATTTTATAATTATTATAAGTATAATTATATTATTTTTTATTTTTTATATCTTTATTTTATATAAATTGGATAAAAAAATTTCATATATTAAATGTGCCAGAAAATAATAACATAATGACAACAGATAGTTTGATAAATCTAAACTGCCAGTTGATGCTTCTAGTTAGACTATTTTTTTTTTTACTATTTGACAAAGAAGAGGAAGAAGAAATAAATAAATTAAAAAGAGATGATAATGATGAAAATACCACTACAAACAGCAGCTGTACTGCTAATATAACTGAAGTTTTTGACAAAAGAACTGAAGAAAGTGATATAGAAACTGGTGATGATAATGCAGTAGATAATTGAATTATAGATTTATATAGATTAGCAATACAATATTTTAAAAAAAATATAATTAATTAAATATATATTACATTTAGCATAATATTTTTTTAATTAATAGCTTTAGTATATAGCTATATTGATTATTGATTTTAGCATAACAATATAAATATACAAATATATATAATAAAAATAATGCTATATTGATAGTAAATATATTTAGTTTTTATTGCTTTAAAATTTTTTAGTATAACATTTAATAAAAACTACAGAATTAAATACAATAATAAAAAAACCAAATCAAAAGCTATATTGAAAACTAGCATATATCTGTAATTAATCTGATAAGTTTTTGAAATTTATCTAATTATTTATAATATAGTAAAATAAAAAAGTTATCAAAAAATTAAAATGTATATCAATATGCCAATATGGCTATAATATATGTTTAGAATTAATCTGATAAATTTCTGAAATTGGCCAAATTTCTGTAAAATATAATTTCAGAATTGGTAAAATTTTAATTAAATATATTAGACTAATATCATTTTTATATTAGTAAATTTTTGGCAACTATCAAATTTCTAATAGTTTTTTGATATTCTTTTGTTCAATCTGTATTAATTATATAAAAAGTAAGAAAAATCTTTTTTTTTTACTTTTATTACTTTTGTTACAATGCCTATTTTTATTATAATATATTTATTATTGTTATTTAAAAAACAGGACAGTAATGTTAAAAAAAAGTACATTGCAATGCATTTAACTTTTTTTTAATTATTATCCAGTTTGTTAAAGTTAATATTTAATGTTTACATAATTCAAGAGCTTTTAAAAATGCAAGCTATAAATTATTTTTATGTTTTTTTTGCTAAGCAAATTCTAATAAATAATTTTTAACAATATTTTTATTTCTATTTCTTGAAGCTATATTTAATTTGACACCTTGCCATAATCTTTCTATATAATTAATATGTATATCAGTTTCCCATTCAATATAATTTTTTGAATAATTTACCATGTAATGTCTAAAACCTAATTTTTCAATACAGCTATATGTCTTCTATTTGTCTATATATATTATTGAACCTTAATGTATATGTTCTTTAATAATTTTTTTATCATACTCTTTTACAATTTTAAAAAAACATTTTCATTCTATAGTTCTTTCAGCCCTATTAACAATCTACTAATTTTTATTTTTTTTTAAATTTTGATTCATTAATTTCAACTATTTTATTTTTATTACTGATAATTAAATTATTATTACTAATAAATAACTAATTATTAAGTTAATAGTTGTATATTCTATATTAGTAATCTAATAATAAGCAATTAACAGAATATCACAACATAAAATATTGTTATTTAAAAAAAATAATTTTGTAAAAACAGATATTGTTTTTTAACATTTTTGATTTAAGCAAATATAAAATTTTTTTTCTAGTTGTTATCAAATTATATTGTTCACATCTGTTAATATTATTTAAAACATTATTTTTAAGTAAGTATTTAATACATTTTTCTTTATTGAAAAAAATATTATAATAAGCTTTAAAAATTAGAATAAACATTATATTAATACTAAAAATAAATAATATTTATATTCAAATAAATACTGTATTTATAATTTTAAATAAAGTTTTATAAATTTGGTTTTATAAATTTTATTTGCTTACAGCAGGCTTTTTTTGCTTTACTAGCCTTATATGTGCTTATAATATGATTAATTTATTATTTTAAATTTAAAACAATTAAAATATGAATTATCATTTAATATGTATTTTAATTAGATCTCTTATCTTCTAATTACTCAATACAAATTACATTAGTTTCTTATATAAAATTAAATATATGTAAACAATCAAAGACTAAAAAATATTTATTATAATATTTATTCCATTTGTTATTACATTGATACAAAATTTCTGTATTAATGATATGGCTTATTTCTTAACTTCATCTTAAATTGTTATAGCAAATGCACATAATAACAAAATTTTTTATCACTTATGAATTAATAAATCTAAATTATTCTTGAATGTTATGTTTTGTGTATAAACTGGCCTTCAAGATGTAAGGTTTTATTTTTGTTTTCATAATAAGTCACATAATATTTTTTTTAATAAGAAAAAAGATTTTATATTTTTTATTATATTATGAATATTATATGTATTTTTTTAATTCAAACATATTGTTATCTATATTCATTAATTTGATTTTTGTATCTTTAATTATTTTTTTTATAATAAAAGATGTTAAATATAAAGAAGATGTTGAATAAGTGATAGTTTTATATTTTTGAGTTTCTTGTTGTTTTTGTTATTAAAAAGATATTTTTTTAATAAGAGAAAAAATTTTCATTGCTTTTTATTATTAAAAAAATTATTAAAAATACATTTATGATCATTGATGATAATGTAAATAATAATTGATTTTTTTACTTTTATAAAGTTTAATTTATTTTTAATTGATATCATAATAATCAAATTAAATTTATTACAATGATTTGTAATGTTTTAAAATTTTTTTATTTTTTTTTAAAAAAAAATTTTGAAAATTTTATTATAAAAAATTTGAATAACAAAATAATTACAAGTCTATAAAGTTTTATTAGTTTTATTAGTTTTAATTAGTATTAAACAATTATCATTTGATTAATTTTTTTATTATTAAAAAACTATTTATTATAAATAAATTTTTATTGTTATTAACTAAATCAAAATGAGAATTTGTTTCAAAAAATAATTTTAAATAAGATTCTTTTTTTGTTTTAGTATTGTATTCGTCAACATATAGTTGTTTTTTAGGTTTAGCTTTAGCAAATTCTTATATATAATAATATTCAGATTCTGAAAGATACTGATTTATTTTAAATTGAAATTTTAATAATTGAAAAGAACAATATTGTTTTAGAAAAAATTTATAATATGCTATTTAAAAGTATTAAGTCTTTCATATAAAACAAAAATAAATTTATAAAATCTAGTTTTTACATTATTTCCAATTTTTTTGATATTTTTAAATTTATACAAATAAAAATCTAGTAGGTGCAAAGAAACACTTACTAGATTATAATTTTGAAAATCATATTTATAATATTGTAAATAACTTGAAATTTTATTAGAAAAATATATAAAGTTGTATTATAAAACTATATATTTTTTGATATATTCTATATTTTATATTAATGATATAAAATTAATTAGCTTAATAATATTTTATATAAAACATAAAAATTCATGTGATAAGATTTTGAAAAAAAGATTTGCAAAGACAAAGAAAATTGTTTCATTAAAATTTGATATAATTTTGTAAATATTCATTTATTTTATTTAAAATTTAATATTTGAATTGTTGAATATCATTTACATCACCTTTATTAGTATCATACAGGATATTTTCTTTAAATAAAGTGGTTAAATAAACAAAAACATCTAATAAACTTTAAAAAAAAAATTTAATTAGTAGTTTTTAAATATAAAAATACTATATCTTCATGAATTTTTGATAAAACAATCTCAAATATTAGAGAAAAGTTTATATATTTATTTATCAATTATCATAATTTGCAATATGAGATTTAGAATCAAAATAAAAAATGTTAAGATGAAATAATCATCATTTTCATCAAAGACACAAATTTGTCTACAAAATAAAACAAAAAAATATTAATATCTCAATAAATATTAACTCAAAAAATCTAAAAATTTATATGCTAATAGATAAAATATACTTTAGAACTTTGCCTAAAAGCATAAAATAGATTTAGAATACCAATAATTAATCTGCAACTAATTATAATTAAATATTTGATAAAAATATATATATATATTTTTTAAGAAAAAAATTATTATTGTTCAATAAGTTTTAAATCAATAATTATAAAAATATAAATTCTAGTATTTTTAATAATGCTGAACAATTTTTATTAAGACTATAACTTTACTTAATTAGTAAAGTTCTGTGTAAATCATCAATAAAATTATATTATTCTTTAAATAAGAAATATAATTTCTATAAGAACTGCTTGTAGAGTCTTTGTTTTTAGATATAAGACTAGAATATAAATTGACTTAAGTGAAAATCAATTCTTTTTATAATTTTTTAATTAAAAGTATGTTAATTATTTGACATAGGTTAGTAAGTTTATTTGATTCTTAGATGCAGTTGTAATAAGTAAATTTAACACTATAAATTAATTTTACTAATAAATGTCTATATTTGAGTCTGAGTTGCTAAAACTGGACTTTTTGGTTAGAAAATAACATAGTAAATTTATTAATCATTTGACTGACTGTTCTATAATAGTAAAATAGTTTATTTGGAATATATAATATATCTATTTTTATTATAGTATATTTATTATTATTATTTAATAAACTGAATAATAATACTAAAAAAAGTAAGCAATTTTTTCAATCTATAATACTAATAAATATTTTTAAATTTACTAATGTTTATAAATATTATGAAGCAGTAAAGCCTGATTATTTTTCAAAAAAGCTAATAATAGTATAAATACAAAAAAGCCCTATTGTTTTAAAAAATAAGCTAGTTTATAGAGCAGAGTTTTTAAGCTATTGCATATTTTGATTTTTTGTATTGTTTATTTATCTTTTTAAGAATAAAAGTTAAGATTTTTTCTTTGATATTTATATATAAAGAGTTCTTGTAAATAAAAAATAAAATATAAATATATTTGGATAAAAGTATTATACTAATATTTTCTTTTAATTAGCTACTACCAGGGAAATTTTTATATAAACTAATAAAAAACTTCTGTTGATACTTGTAAGTAGGCAGGCTTTAAGAGTTAAATAGGCATTTTTAGCATGAAAGTTACTGCTGTTCTTAGATGTTGTATTACTAGTCATTAAAATTTTAACAATTAATTAGTTTATTAATTATTTTTTGATTAATAATTAGTTACAACTAATTAATTAACTAACAAATTAATAATTTGTAACTAGTTAATTAATTTATTATTTAATTAGTTGCAGCTAATTATTTTATTAATTTTT